TAGAACTCATTCATAACATGTGATTATATCCCTTGAATCCATAATTCAATTCAAGGCGAGTTAGAATCAAGTTAAAGAAGAAGTTAGAGTCAAGTCAAGCATGGTTAAGAAGTTAGTTCAAGCAAGTTTTCAAAGTTGTTCGAGAGTCTTTAATGAACGTTTTTACTTCATTCTAAGGCTCAAGTTGCAAGTCAAGTAAAGAGTTTAAAGTTGAGTTCATTTCTCAAAGTTATTAGGGAACTATGTATTCCCAAAGAAGTTTTTAAAGAAATGTTTTCACATTTAAACAAGGTTGGGAACTGAGATTTCCAAAGGAGCCTTCGGGCCAGTTTTTCAGAAAAGAGTTATCATTCCTAAATGAAGCAAGGTTGGAAACTGAGATTTCCAAAAGAGCCTTCGGGCAAGTTTTTGAGTAATTATCTCATATCAGCAGGAATAATTATGTTTTAAAAACATAAGAGCCAGTACATTTTTGGGAGTAGTATCGAGCACCGAATTGGGGGAGCGTTCAAAGAACCCACAGCCCCATAGAACCATGTTAGCCATCATGGGTAGAAAAGGATCATACTTTTTAGATGAATCCTTTTCAGATTAGACTAGTGGATCCATTAGGCAGTTCAGGTCCTATACCTTTGGCCGGGAATAGGATGCTCTGGCAGCGTGAGGTCGATCGCTGTATCATCACTATAGCTCTTATGTGATGGTTGTCGGTTAGAGAAACTCCCACAGCAGTTATTGTATTTTCATACACAGAAAGTATTGTATTTTATATACATCAGTTCATTTGTATTTCTATATACATCTCAGGCTTATTGTATCTTTGCATACACGCAGAGTTTATAGCAAGTTTTAAACAGTTTTCCTTATATCGCATTTGTTTTAAATTGCCTTATATTGAAAGAAGTCAGTCAGGTTGAGTTGAGTTGAGCCAGGTAAGCTATTCAGTTTCTTCCAGATCTCCAGATCTCCTGCTAGCCTTTGTTGCTTAGTTCCAGCTCGCATACTCGTACATTCCATGTACTGATGCCAATTGGCCTACATCTTTTTATAATGCCGATACAGGTACCCCGGATCAGCATCCTGCACGTCGTTGATCCAACTGAGCATTCCAGAGTCTGTGGTGAGCCTCCTTGCATTCCGGAGGACTCAATTATTTTGTGTACTTAGTTTTGTTCTATTTGGATGTTGCGGGGTCTGTCCCCACATCCATCTCAGTACATTAGAGGCTTTGTAGACAGTCAGACAGTCAGTCAGTCAGTAGTTTTGAGTCTCTCATCCATGTATATGTATGTATATGTAAATATTCTATTTTGAGACTCGAGTTGCCCCTTTGGGCCATATTTATATCAGTTAAGTTGTTTATGTCTTTGCATGGCATTGAGTTATTCTATTGAGTCAGGTTTTCGCTGAATTAAGAAAGCCAGGCCAAGGGTTCGCTTGGGGCCAGCAATGGTCTCCGAGTGCCGGTCCCGCCCAGGGTGTAGGCTCGGGGCATGACAATACATCAATGGTAGATGCACCCAAGAAAAGTTTAAGACACTAGCTAGTATGTACCCTAGTGAGCATGTCAAGAGCCATCTTTGAAGAAGCGTAAGCAAAACCCCCAGGTATTAGTACCCGATTCAGACCAGAAACTGAAGAGATATTAATAACTGATCCTCCACCCTGTTTAGCGTTGCGCATGCGTCTACAAACATATTTAGACAGCAACCATGCCCCTCTGAGATTCGTCTTAAAGGTCTGTTCCCATTCCTCCTCTGACAATTCTAGTGCAGAGCTCACACTACCTATATATATATATATATATATATATATGATGATGATGATAAATAACCAACAAAATTCTTTATTAAGTTCAAACTTCAGGTGCAGCATTAGTCTGAACTTCACTTGTAGTAGATTTAAAACTGCATACCAATGTTGCAACCGAACTTCATAGAGATTCTAATCCAGGACTTACATTTGCTTGGCATAATACATAAATATGTCATTTAACTTGGTCCCAGCTCACATTTATGCCATTTAACTTTGGGTGTGCACAAGTAGGCACTTAAACTTGTATAAAATTGAACAAATAGACACACGCGTCCTACATGGCATCCTACATGACAATTTGAGTTCTACATGGTGTCCTACGTGTATTATGTCATGTAGGACTAATGTGTCTACCTGATCAACTTTATACAAGCTTAAGTGTCTACTTGTGCACATCCAAAATTAGAGGGCATAAATGTGAAATGAAATCGACGAGTTAAAGGGGACATTTATGTATTATGCCTATTTGCTTTCACATCATGTTGAAGTGTGTGACATCTCATCTAAAATATTTACTTTTTTTTAGAGATTACACTTATATTTACTTGATTTACTTCTAACTATATGAATATTACCTCTAAGGCCAGCATTGTTAATCAAGGCATCGATACGTCCAAAGGCATCCCAGGCTCTTTGTACAACAGCCTCAACAGTAAAACCATCAGCAGTTATGTCAAGTTCTAGGGCGAACGCACACTGCCGGCCCTCTGAATTAATCGCATCACAGAGAGATTTCAGTCTGTCAAAACGACGAGCAGAAGCAATGATGCTGCAACCAGCTTTTGCCAAGTCGAGACAGATCTCTCGCCCGATTCCTGATGATGCCCCTGTCACCATCACTACTTTTCCACTCAGGTCTTTCCACGACTCCATTTTTATTTGGTATATATAGTATAATGTGATTATAATGCAGAAAGTTATATAGAAAATAAGTATGTTTTATGACATTGTGGTAGTGTACCAATATTATTGCTGGCTAATGTTGGCACCAAATCTAAGTTGTAAGTTGGCAACCTATCTAGCATTTGTGAAAATGGCCAAACGGCCAACTCTAGTTAAGATTTTTAGCCTTTTATCTTTAGTAGCAAAATGAAAAGGAGTAGATTTCATAAATGCTCATATAACTGACTTTTTTTTTCACTGAAGTCACATAACTATATTTTTTTAACCGAAAAATCACAAAACTTCCATACTATTAATACAAAAGTCACAATTGTTAGAAAACTCAAACAACCAATAAGTGATAATTTATACTCTATATTTTAATCCTTTTTAATTTTTTATCTTATAAATACATACTCAATTAAAAGAGGACCGACTCGACTAGGTTGTAGTTAATGTATATTGAAAAGCATTACATTTTGTGGCTAGTAAGAAAATGAATTTCATGGAGTAATAATTACTGCTACTAGTTATCGTCTCATCGATGCATCAGAAGTAATAATCTTGTGATAATTATATTCTAATTGATTGACCCCTTTTATTTTATGATTGATTATAGCTGTTCTTTTGGAGTATTTTGATGAGATTGTGAGAAAATAAAAGGTATATAAAAGAGCATGTCTATTACTTAATAGATGATGGTCCAGTGGTTTTAGAGTTAGCCCAACTATTATTATTACTGTTATTAATATATGGTGTCATCAGTAATGCTAATTAGTGAAGTTACCCGTTTCTCTCGAAGCTTCTTCTTCCTCTTTGTAGATTTGTCTATATACACATTAATTGGAAGAATTTTCATGCCAGAGTCTAAGAAAATTTCTCTGAATTTTCTTCTTGTATGCGTTTGAATTTATTCCCTCTACCTTTTGATGTTAATATCCATTTCAGGGGTAGCTACGTAGATGAAGATTCAGATTACACTATTTATTTATGATTCTGTTGCAATTTTTTATTGTGAGAGCAGCATGCATAGGATAGGTGAAACTCTTCTAATTAACAGTGTGTATGTATTAGTGCAATCGTCAATTATCCGATTTCTTTGACAGTCTAAACTCTAAAGAGAATCATATCAAAAAGTTCAGCTTATACAACAAACATTACACATTTGGCCAAAAAAATAAAAATACACAATTTGAAGTATTTGGTCTCCTATTATTGTATCTTAGTATCCAAGCATAGGAAGGTAATTAGAATTACAAAAATGTTAAGGTGTACACTGAATAATCCTACTGAAGTATTTAGACTACTATTATTGTATCTTAAATTGAGGTCGCTATTGTAGAAAACCTCAATTCGGCTTTGGTTGAACCTGTCGAACTTAAATCATGAATGCCTTTGTTCTAGAGTGATGAGAAAATCGGGACACCTGTTAAGGTACCTCCGCTGTCAACAATGAAAATATTGCCGGATACATATTCTGAAGAATCATGGATCAAATACTTAACGAGTGATGTTAAAGCCGGATCTGTCATTCCAAGATATCTCAGAGGAACGGTTCGCAAAATAACATTATTGAACCCTTCCTTTTGCATAAGGCTCTCTGTTATATGAGATTTGTAAACTCCTGGTGCTATTGAGTTCACTCTGATATTGTGTACTCCCAATTCAAGTGCCATCATCTGCCATTATTTGAATTACAGAGAATAAAATAATTCAACATTTCGATAATACATCAATGGTAGATGAAACCTTGCAGGTTTTAAGACAGTAGCTAGTACGTACCCTAGTGAGCATGTCAAGGGCCATCTTTGAAGAAGCGTAAGCAAGACCCCCGGGTACTAGTACTCGATTCAGACCAGAAACTGAAGAGATATTAATAACAGATCCTCCGCCCTGTTTGGCATCATGCATGCGTCTACAAACATATTTGGACAGCAACCATGCCCCCTGAGATTCGTCTTAAAGGTATGTTCCCATTCCTCCTCTGCCAATTCTAGTGGAGAGCTCACACTACCTATACATATATATATGTGATGATGATACTGATACAGTGATACTTTTTAGAAAATTAAATTGTGGACTTCTGTTTTTCATACCATGTTAAAGTGTGTGACATCTCATTTAAAAAAAATTACCTTTTTTTTTAGAGACCATACTTTTATTTACTTAATTATCTTTTAAATGTATGAAAGTTACCTCTAATGCCAGCATTGTTAATCAAGACATTGATACGTCCGAAGGCATCCCAAGCTCTTTGTACAGCGCCCTTAATGGTAGCGCCATTGGACATGACATCAAGCTCGAGGGTAAATGCTCGCCGAATACCCTCTGAATTAATGTCGTTGCAGAGAGAGTCTAGCCTGTCAATACGACGAGCAGCAGCAATTATACTGCAACCGGCTTTGGCCAAGTCGAGACAGAACTCTAGCCCGATCCCGGAGGATGCCCCTGTCACCATCACTACTTTCCCGCTCAGGTCCTTCCGCGGCTCCATTTTACTTAGAGGTATGTATGAAAGCATAGTATAATGTGATAATGTGGGGAGTTAAATAGAAAAAACATATACGTTATATAACATTGTGGTATAGAAGATTGAAAGCCAGTTATTGTTTTGTGAAAGAGCTGAGTAGTGTACCCATTAATATGGGACCAGATCTAAGTTGGCCAACCTAACTAGCATTTGTGAAAATGGCCAAACGGCAACTCTAGAGAAACTTTTCAACCTATCTTTAGTTTAAAACCACAAGATTCAAGAAAATTCTTTATTTTTTAAAACTTGTATCAACTCAAGATCAGACAAACAAATTGAAACGGAGTGTATACTTATTAATTGTGCACTAATGGATTTCTTTTTTTGCTTCTAAAGTTTGTTGATTGGTCCACATTTGGTTTTATGCATAATTAGAGGGATTTTTTTTCTAGAGTCTCTATATAAGAGAACTTCTCTAACTCAATTTACTTCTTGTATGCAGTTAGGTATTTAATTAATGTACTTCACGAATCAATTAATATGTGGAATTTCCACTAAAATCTCTTTGTTAGTCGTGGGAAATAATTTCTCATCGGTTTCTTTTTAAGAATAGATCGAGAGAGAAGCGTCTAACCAACTTCTTCTCAAAATCAGTTCTGTCAGTTATGATATATAATCATTAGATAATGTGATTGGTAAATAAGGATTTATTTTTTTAGCAGGATGTATAATGTATCGTCAATTATCAATATGATTCCACAAAGAGAAAGTATATAATACATAAATTCAGACAAAAGAAATATATTGAGAGAAAAGATTATTTACTAGTAGTATTCTTTTCAAGAACATATGCAAGTTGTCTTAAACAATTAAGAATGTTATTAATATGCATAAAAGGGAGTGAATCTCAAAAGCTGTACTAAAACATGTTAGTGAAAAATTACAAAATAACAGAATTACAAGATTACAATTGAAAATAAAAATGAAGAAATAAATCCTTTTAGGATGAGGCGCGAATATCTCGCTCTCTTTAAGGAGATTCAAGCTCATTGCAACAAATGTTTTCACCGGTCCAGCAGTAGTTCTTCTTGTAATGACCCTCATGGTCATTTCTGTTTCTTGCCTTCTGTGTGTCGTTTAGAGCGTTGCTATAGCGACCCCAAGTCATTTATGACTTGCTGGGACTGACAGTTCGGTCACCTGGTCGTTCGTTTGGTCTTGGTGCGAGTTTTTGTGTTTTGGAGCTTATGAACCTTGAACGATCATTTTCGATCAAAAGTTCAAGAAGACGACATCGGAATCCAATTCTGATGATTCCATCAGCTCCGGAAGGGTCATTTTAGGCTAGTAGCATGGTCGACATGACTCCCGAGGTTTTCAGTGTGAGTCGGTGCGATTAGGCGTTTTAACTTTAAGTTTAAGCCTAAGTTTGACTTTGGTCAACATTCTGAGTAAACGCGCTCAGATGAGAATTC